TGCCTTTTACAGCAGCATTTTAGCCTAGAGAGTAAAACCCAGATTACTCAAAGAAGTAATCTTTTTTGAGATTACTCAAAGAAGTAATCACGCCGAAGTCCCCGTGAGGGAGGGTGTGGTAGGGAGCAGCATGTCAGATGGTGAATCTCATGGTGAACCCCATCAGGGTGAGTCGCTGTTGACCTGTGGGGTATTTGCATCATTGCATGAAAAGGACCAAGTCCTGGAGGCTTTACCTTCTCCATATGACTCTTTTTTTTTTTATTAGAATAGTGATTCACCATGAGGTACAGTTATATACTTAGAAACTTTCGTGTTTGTGTTTCAGTCATACAATGATCGAGTACCCATCCCTCCACCAGTGCCCGTTTTTCACCACCAATGGTCCCAGCATCCCTCCCACCACCCCCACCCTGTCCCCTTCACCCCACCCCGCCTCTGTGGCAGGGCATTCCCTTTTGCTCTCTCTCTCTCTCCTCTTGGGTGTTGTGGTTTGCAATAGAGGTATTAAGTGGCCATCATGTTTGGTCTGTAGTCTACTTTCAGTCCGCATCTCCTATCCTGAGCAGGTCATCCAAATACCTTTTACTTGGTGGTCCCTTCTCTATCTGAGCTGTCTTTTCCGCCAGCATGTGAGGCCGGCTTCCAAGCGATGGGGCAAACCTCCTGGTCCCTATCTCTACTATTCTTGAGTGTTAGTCTCCCATTCTGTTACTTTATATTCCACAGATGAGTGCAATCTTTCTACCTCCATGTGACTCTTAAGTCCCCAATAGCCCTTCAAGATTGCCGTGAGCACCCCCAGTTGACAGATTAGTAAACCAAGATATAGAGAAAGAAATATCCAATTAGTAGTGAAAGAACAACAGAACAAGGACTTGAATTTTATTGTCTGACTTTACTGTCCATAAAGCCTGGACTCTCCTCTCCTCTTAGCCCTTGGGTATTCTCACTGGTCTTCAGTGGACAAAAAAAAAAAAAAAACACTGGAAAAAGCATAGATATAACCAGTCTGTTTTCTTCTGAATTTGGCTGTGACGCCAGAAGTGAGAGAATCTAGATTTCTCGGGAACTTTGGCTACTCTATGAAACTAGTCATCTGGATTTGGAAACCACCATTGGCCCCTTTCCAGGGAGTATTTGATTCATCCCATGATGCACCGGAAGTTTAGTGGAGATAGTTTATGTGCCGAGCCTTGTTCTATTAGATGGGTCGGGGAGCATCACAAATTATAATAATTTTAGAAAAACTTTACTGTGAGCCAGTTGTCTATTGGTACTGTTATGTGCTCGCAATAGTACATTTAGACACTGCAGGGACTGACTCACATAATCATCATGAAAACCTCTGAGAGAGCTATTGTTAACTTCTTTTCAGACCAAAAAAATCAAAGTACAGAGGGGTTAAGCAGTTGTCTGATATTCTACAGCTAATGAGTGTCAGAGTCAGGATTAAGCCAGGCGGCCTGGGTCAGCTCTGAGATGTCTATCTTCCCCCCTCTATTGCAGTTCTCACACGCCTTATCCCTGTGAAGCTTTCTTGTCTAACCAGCATATTAAAATAGCACCAGCTGGGAATGTCGACTGGTTCAGCCCTTCTGGAAAACAGTATGGACGAGTCTCAAAAAATTAGAAATTGAGCTCCCATTTGACCCAGCAATACCACTCCTGGGAATATATCCCAGAGAGGCAAAAATGTATAGTCGAAGTGACATCTGCACTTGTTTGTTCATTGCAGCACTCTTTACAATAGCCAGAAACTGGAAGAAACCTGAATGCCCAAGAACAGATGACTGGTTGAAGAAACTTTGGTACATCTACACAATGGAGTACTATGTAGCTGTTAGAAAAGATGAAGTCATGAAATTTATATACAAGTGGTACAACATGGAAAGTATCATGTTAAGCGAAATGAGTCAGAAAGAGAGGGATAGACATAGAAAGATTGCATTCATCTGGGGGATATAAAGTAACACAATAGGAGATTAATACTCAAGAATAGCTGAGATCAGCACCAGGAGGATTACTCCATAGCTTAGTGGCCAGTCGGGCATTCTAGAGGAAAGGGCAGCTCAGATAGAGAAGGGAACACCAAATAAAGGGTGTTTGGAGGATCCTCCCAGGAGGGGAGATGCATGTCGAAAGTAGACTATGGACTGAACATGTTTGCCACTCAATGCCTCTTTTGCAGACCACAACATCCAAAAGGAGAGAGAGAACACAGGGGATTGCCCTGCCACAGAGGCAGGGGGGGATGGGGGGATGGGGGTGGGGGGGATATTATCCATGGTGGTGGAAAATGGGCACTGGTGGAGGGATGGGTATTTGATCATTGTATAATCAAACCCAAACACAAAAAATTGTAAATCTACAACTGTACCTCATGGTGTTTCACTAATAAAAAAAGAAAAATAAAAAAAAATAAAAATAAATCAGCCTACCACAAAAATAAAAAAAAATAGCACCAGCAATAACTTGATTACATTATCTGAGAAGCAAACTGGGCATTGAGGATGAATGATCCTGGAATTGTAAAGTGCTTGTCATCCTGGGGCCAGTGGGACAGAATCATGGTCACAAGTAAGTCCCAATAAGAACTTTGACTGCTGTATGCCCAATGGCAAGTCTTTTCACCTTACAGACATTGCTTTATTTATAGGATGGTTTTCCTGTCATAGTCTCCTAGCCTTCAAGCAGTTTTTAGAAATTAAATGAAACAAGATCTCAAAGTAAAAAAGAATAAAGTGCTGGGAAAGAGTTTGTTAATAGTTAAAGTGGTTAATAGCCACAGTGGTCAGTTTGGTGAATGAATGAATGAATGAATGAGTGGAACTAGCAATCCTGCAGACTGGCTCCCTGAGCTAACTATTCCCTTCTGGAGCTCCTTGGGAAATACTCAGGGTTCCTACAGGACTCTTTATCCCTGCCCATGCCCCATGTTCCTACTTCTTGAGTTATTTTGTGTCTCATTCTTGTCAGTCTTCAAGATTGCTTCAGCAATACATTTATTAATGTGCTCATGCCAGACTCTCTGGGGACAGCGAGATGGATTTAGATGCTCTCTGCCCTTGGGTGCTTGTAGGCTAGGAGGAGAAATGATGATGATGATGATGATTACAATTAGAACAAGAAACAGAAATTACTGAGCATTTACCACACATGCCAAATATTGTGTTGAGTTTGTGTATGCTTCATTTATTTAATCATGACAACAATTCCATTAACTGCTAACACCGCTGTCCCCGTTTCTACATGAGGAAACCAAATCAGACAGGCTAGCTTACCCAAGTTCATACAACCCTGAAGTTAGAGCCTGACATGAACATGAGAAATGAGATGTGGCAACAAACAAGCAGTTTCTGGTAAGGTGGTGGTGGCAGGAACAATGATGGTCTTAACGATAGTGTTTTTTTTTTGTGATAAAGAGCGAATCCCAACCCTCTTTTTTGGGGTGACTTCTAGAGGTACCGGGGGTTCATGTAGCGTAGAGGATAGAATCTCAGCCTTTTGCATGCAAGGCATGCAGTCAACCCACTGAGCCATCTCCCTGGCCTCAACGGTGGTGCATTTTTTTCCTTTTATTAGTATTTTTTTTTAATTTTCCCCTTACACTTTATATAAACATGTGGCTTACAAAGTTGTTTAGGATGATTTGTTACAGGCATTCAGTATTCTAACACCAATCCCACCACCATTACTCTAGGGGTGGTGATTTTGATAGTTACAGTGAGATTGGTAATAATGGTGCTAATGGCATTGCTGATGGTGGTAGTGGTGGTGGTGGTGGTGGTGAGGTGGTGATGGTGACTGGGGGAATGATGGTAGGGACTGTGAAAATCTCTGTCACCCACTGTGAATTTTGCTCTTGTGCGAGGCCCTAACCTGGGATCTTCCTACAGTCTCATTTAATCCACCTGATAATTTTTCAGTGTGAGGATCTTCACCTCTGTTTACGTGGCAGGACTCTAAGACGGGAAGAGGCAGAGGTGGCCAGCTCAAGGACACGCTTTCCCTCTGAGCCAGGTCTGAACTGAAGCAGGCCTCCCTGCAGGGGCCACTGTGCTCCCTCTTGGGGCTCTCTAGCCTGTGGACCCTGGGGCCAGACATCTTAGAGATGCTCCGTAAGCATCTGTTGAACTGATGTCAAACGAGTGGATGCTGAAGAGGGGGGCAAGTCTTAAGCTAAGACATAAATTATATGTCTCAAATGAGTACGTGTGACCATTGTTTATGAATATGTGGTAGCGCTGTGATTACTAAAATGCAAGTTCATTGTAAAGCATTATGTTCCTCATGGCTTTCACATCATTTTCCTCAGAGAAAAGAAACCGTAGCGTTAGCCTCAGGAGGAGTTTTGAGAAATATTTTCACAGGAAGGGATTCCTTGTGCTGAGCATGGTGGGAAGCATCATGCCATCCTGCAGGGCATCTTTTAAGTGTTTTACCAGCATCTGGCACAGGGGAAGAAGCCTACCAGACTGGGGCATGGGAACTTGTCTTACTAAACTCAAACTTTTATGCTCAGTAAATTGAACCTCCTAAGATCTGACCCCCCCTCCCCCGCACACACATCTAATGACGTTCCCAAATGGCTATCAAGTGCAGGCATGAATGGATGTATATTGAAAAGAAGGATGAAGCATGGCAGTTCCCACTCGGGGAGCCCAAGAGGGGCTGTGGTCCCCAAGGAGTGCTTGAGAATGAGAGTTTCTTGCCTGAGAGCAGAACAGTGTCAGGGCATTCCACAGGGGCTGGTGACCTTGACTCTCAGCTCTGCCAGTGGGGTCAGGAGGCCATGCTTGTGTCCTTGGGAGTGGGGGGCAGGGAAAGCCTTGGTCTTGACTCTAATGACCACCCTGGAGAAGAGGATGTGGCCGGCAAGTCTGGGTGGCAGCTCTCAGCATAACTGCGCTCACCATTTTTGGATGCAGTTTTCATACTCCAGTGGAGATGGACAAATGGTGGTGGTTTAATATTCTCACTCTCTCTACTGCCCACAGGTCTCCCTCTAACACAGTCCTCCAGGCTCTTAGACATCTCTGCTCCTCTCCACCATGAGACCACGGCCCACCTTTGGCAGGTAAGCTCCCCTGTGTCTCCCCCATACCAGCCAGAGTCAGGACACTATGGCCTGAAGCAGATGGGAAGGCTTCAGCCTGAGCCCCTTACTTGTTGAGACTTCCCGTGTTCAGAGCCCTCCAGCTGGTCTCTGTGACATACCAGCAGGTACCATTCAGAACCTGTCCTGGGAGAGAAGCCAAGGAACCAGTTCTGACCCGCGATCTGCCTTGACTGCTGGGGGAAACCTCAAGCAAGAACCTTCCTTTCTGGGGCTCTGTTTGAAGAGTAAGGGAGTAACAACTCAGTGACCTGGGCAGGCCACCACCAGCGGAGGCTCCTGGAGGGTCCAGGGTGGAGGGGAGCCAACTGCAGCTTGCCCTGGACACCTCAGGGACCTCTGGGACCTCTCTGGTCCCCACAGCACTGACCTGGACTGTGTGTGTGCCCATGAGGTCTGGCTCATTCGTTTGGGATAGGAGGCTGTGTCCACCTCCTAGCAAACTCTGCTCCATGTGAATCTCAGACATGGACAGCCACCAGCTCTGCCCTGCTCTGCGTGTGACCATAGGCTGTCGTGTGCTGTGAGTGTGAGTCGGCTCACACAGAGTGTGTGGGTGAGGGACCATGGGGAACAGGGCAGTGGTCCTAAATAGAGGGGTTGGTGCAGAGTCAAAGTTCTGAGCAGTGGGCAGCACCACAGAGCAAGTAGGGGGGAACGGCCGAGGGGAGGAGCAGGGGCCCTGTGCAGAAGTTGGGGCCACCCCTCTCTCTGAAAGGCTCAGCTGGATCCTGGTTTATCCTGGCCTTACCCTGTGACCTGATATCTCGGGGAGCCCCTTCTGAACCCTAGCTAAGTCCAGCTGGCCTTGGCCACACACTGTTGCCACGTACCATATCCTTAGTCATTCCTGTACCTCCAAGATGCACACAGGGAAACTTGGCCACTCGACCAGGCTGCACCTCCTGGCTTTCGTGCAGGGTCCCAGGTCGTCTCTCCTGACATACCAGGTTCCACCCTGACCCTTTGCAGGGTGGAAGCCCCAGATAGGTGCCCAGGAAGGAAATAAACCAGGCCTGCTTGTCGGGCAGATTTGCTTCCACTTTGCTCAGTGCTAGGGTTGGGTTTGGAAGTTCGGGGATGAGGACCACCCTGACCCTCCAGAAGTTTCTTCTCTAGAGGAGGAGCTTCCCAGTCTGGAACCCCTTTGATGACAGAAAGGAAACCCCTCCATCTGAGCTGGGGGCGGGGGGGGCTCAGGGAAGACCACTGGTGGGGGCGACAGTGCCCTGGGCTTTGAAGGCGTGTAGAATGTCACTGGGTGGAAAGTGGAAGCAGGCCTTCCAGCCGAGGGGTGAGCGAGTGCCCAGCTAGGGTGGCTGGGATGTGGGCACAGGGAGGGGTGGGTGGAAGTGCAGCTGGCAGGAACGGGCGGCCTTTGAACGCCATGCCAGGGAGCTGGCCTTGAGCCCGATGGAAGCAAGGGAGGGAGGTATTCAGAGGCACAGTGCCAAGAGAGGCGTCGGGCTGGGGAAGAGCCCAGTTTTCCGGCAGTACCCCCTTCCGGCCCACCCTACCCTCCCTCATCCCCAAGAAGCTCTAGCCGCCCCCGGCCAGAACCCTAAATGAGGGCCCCTTGCACCCTCCGCTCCTGTAAGCACGGGCGCCTCCCACCCTGGAATCGCTTTCTGTGTGGCGAGTTCTGCCCCCCACGTCATTTTGGTTTCCCCTCTCGGCAGAACTGTGAATCATTTTCCCTGGCATGTCCTGAGCACTGTAGGGCGAGCAGGCTCGAGCCAAGAGAGCTGCCTCTCCAGGGGCCCCGGCACCATCCCACGGAGCCTTGGTCCCTCTCAGGCACTGCCCTAGAGAAGGGCCGCTCCCCATGCTGCTGCGGGCTCCTGACCCCTGCCGTGGACAGGCGCCATGGCCTACGAGACAAGCACATGAAGGGACTGTTGGCATCCGTGCCTCACCAGGACAGCAGGTCAGTCTGACTTCCCTTGGTGGGGTCCAATCAGTGGGGCCTTCCTCACCCACCTCTGTCCTGGGGATCCAGGCCAAGGCCAAAGTAAGACGGCCCCTTCTTCAGAAAGGACGTGGATACATATAGATCAGCCCCCAGGGAGGAAAGACAGAAGCACCGGCAGGCCCATGAGGTGTGGAAAATGGGGGCAGGGCACACTCCATGGGCACAGCTGTGGACAGATGGAGGTTCTGTCCTGTCAGGGCCATGGTGGGAAGGGACATGGCGACCTCCGAGTAGACGGGCTTGGTGCTGGCCTGCACTAACCTATCACCAAGATGCACACAGGGAAACTGGGCCTCTGGGACCAGGCTGCCCGGAGGAGCACGGTGAAGTCAGAGGCCATATCAGGTCGAGTGGCCGGGCTGCAGCAGGAGCTGCCTAATTGGGGCTTCTCTAGAACTGTCATTGCCGGCCACCCTCACGCACCCCGAGGTAGTTAGTTCTGGAGATGTTCCTGTTTGTGTGGGCTGGGGGGTACCTGAGAGGGGTGAATAAACACAGTCCCTGTCCCCAGAACAGAAAGGAAGTAGACAGGCCCTGGGATGCTCGTACCAAAGAACTACTGATGCATGAATGGGGTAGCCGGAGTGCTCTGGGTGAGGGTGCCCCGAGGGCAGGAATGGGAGCCAGTGGGGTTTTGTGAAGAGGAAACCTGGGCCAGGGAGTAATACCAGGAATAATTATAGCTACTGCCTCGAGAGCACTGCCCACGCACCAGGCACCTCTGAGGGCTTGCGTGGAAATACTTTCATTCTGCTGTGCAGCTACTCACCAAGATGGAGCTTCCTCCCTGCCGCTTGAACAGGTGAGGAGCCTCGAGCCACAGGAAGGCTGTCACTAGCTGAGGCACAGCCCCGAGGGAAGATGCTGGCCAGGTTACACGCGGGCCATGTGGCCTCAGAGTCCATGCTTGGATGCGCTTGAGAATGTGAGCACTAAGCCAGCAGCCGGCCTGGAGGCACCCACAAAGGGCTTGAGAGTCTGGCACAAAGTGCTCACTGGGAGAAGACAGGGGTGCAGTGGATCTGAAGGGAGAGAGAGAGAGAGTGGGGCGGGAGTTAGCCCTGCAGACAAGGTTCCCGCTAGGACAGAGGGAACTGTCACTCAGGTCTATGTCCTGGGTGACCTTGAGGCACTGACATTGCTGGGTAATGGCAGGGTACCAGGTACAGACATAGTAAGTGGCACTATGGGCACTATGGCCAATGTCCCCTCGTCCCAAAGACCAGGGCACCTGGGGAACCTGCCTACCTTCCACTGCAAATCTTCCCCACCTGCCCTGTCCATATTTGGCGATGAAGGACGTTGTGTCCTTTGGGATCCCACACATTTGTCACCGCTTCCCTCAGTGGTTTCCAGGGGATCTAATCTGGTCACAGCACCACAAGCTCCCCACCCCCCAAATCACAATCACAAATCATCCTGTTATTCGTCGATTGCCTCGAGCAGGCCCCAGTAACGTCTCCTTCATCCTAGCCCTGAGATTATATTCAAGGCTCTTTAGGAGAATGAGACCCATCATTGTTACTGATATTTGGCATACTGGGTACGCAACGGGGAGTTTGCCAGACTCTGCCGTGTGGGCAGGCTACATTCTCCTGCCCCCGCGCCTGGCTGCCCTCGCCGGAGCCCTTTGGAGGGGAGCGGGTTGAGCCTTCCTCCCCGCCCCGACCAGGGCTCCGGCAGCCAAAGACCTCCAAGACCAGCCACCACCATGCTGAGACCCCACCCCCCAAGGCAAGGAAAATACACATCAGTCAAGAGGGACTTGAAAAAGAGAACCCAAACCCTGCTGATAAGGGATTGCTTTTCTGATGTTTGAGACTTCAGGGAACTGGTATGTTTCAAAGACCCTTTTCCCTTCTTCGGAAGAGCGGGTGATGCCTGGGAAACCCTGGGCGAGAACTCAGCTCCCAACTTCCTAGCTGGGCACCCTTAGGTGAAGCAACTCATTTCTCTTCAGTTTCCAGCTCCATAAAGTGGGAGAAAACTTCCCCGTGGAAATCAAGAGGGCATAATGTGAGGAACCCAGGAGAGGCCAGGCTTAGCAGAAAGCATGTTCAGGCTTCCAGTTTGCTTCTGGGGCTTCAGTCTCCTTCATAAAGTGAAAGGTTGGAGAATGTCAGTCTTTATCCCAGTGAACCCAGCCATTCTTGATTGAAAGCTGCCACATCCGGGAACTAGATCTGTCAACACATTAACACACTCATACAGAGAGAGAGAGAGAGAGAGAGAAACAGAGAGAGAGAGAGAGAGAGAGAGAGAGAGAGAGAGAGAGAGAGAGCGCTACCTCCAAGTGCAGGCAACCTTGTTATGTTTACACTGCAAAGATAGACGCTGCATGTTTAGGCTAGAGAGATGGGAAGACTCTCGCTTCCATGAAACCGACCCAGGTTCAATCCCTGACACCACATATGGACCCTGAAACTTGCCAGGAATGATCCCTGAGTACAGAGCCAGGAGTAAACCCTGAGCTGGGAAGGGAGGGTGGGAGGTTTCAAAAACTGAAGATGCATTTCAAAGTATATTTCCTACGGCTATACAATCAACAGCATCTTTCATTTTCTTCCAATAATGAAAGTGATACATTTCTGTTGAGAAATTTGGGGGAAGTACAGGAAAAGGGAAAAAAAAATGCTACCCAGTGTTCCACACTCCAAACGATCAGAGCCGCTTCGATAGTGACTCTCCCTCCCTCCTCTTTTCTATACACACAGAGCTTTAAAGGCACCTATCAGGAGTGACACCGTCTATATTTTGACTCAAAACTGAGCTGGTGAGCCTGGCCCCTGGGCAGCGGCAGGGTCCCTGTGCCCGAGCGGAGCTGACTACAGCTGCCTCTCAGCTGTTCATGCCCGCAGCCCCACCCCTGGCTGGGCAGCGGACTGGAGGCGTCTGACTTTTGCATATTCTGTGTCTCTGGTGGTACACATTTGACACTAAATTTAGCTTCACCTCTTGGGCAGCCGGCCGGGGGGCTCATGCACATAAT